GTCGTGACCACGAAAGGTAAGGAAGGGTCCGCTACTTTAAGAACCGGATAATTAATCAAACACTTTTTTAAACGCTTGAAGGACATCGTACAGTCTGAGTCTCACTTCCAAATTATTTCTTTCTTAAGCAATCTGTGAAGGGGAGCAGCTACTATCGTAAAGTGTCTTACGAACTTTCGATAGTAGTTGGCTAACCCAAGGAACGAACGCAACTCAGTCAGGGTGTGGGGGTTCGGCCAATCTCTGATTGCTGCTATTTTGGCATCTTTCGGTTTGACCCCATCTCCATCAATCACACGTCCTAGGTATAACACCTGACGCTTAGCCCATTCACTTTTCTTTGGATTTAACTTGAGTTTTGCTTCTCTCAATTTATTTAGCACAAGTCGAAGGTGCTCAGTGTGCTCCTTTTCATTTTTGCTAAGAATTAAAACATCGTCTAAGAAAATTACAACAAATTTGTCGAACCATTCACGAAAGAGTTCGTTCATCGTTCTTTGGAAAGTAGTAGGGGCATTCTTTAGACCAAAGGGCAAAACTACAAATTCATACTGCCCATACCTTGTCCTAAAGGCAGTCTTGTGTTGGTCTTCCGGCTCAACCTCAATCTGATGATAGCCGGATTTCAGATCAATCTTTGAAAATATTTTGCTTCCCTGCACGCAATCTAGCAAATCGTCTATTCGCGGTAATGGTTCGACAYTTTTCACTGTTATATAATTTAACCTCCTATAATCTATACACATGCGAACGCCGCCGTCCTTTTTAGGCACAAAGAGCACAGGCGCACCATAGGGCGAGGAACTAGGTCTTATCCAACCATTTTTCAACAACTCATCGAGTTGGGTTCGCACTTCATCCAATTAATGGGGCGACATATGATAGATAGGCCCCTTCGGGGACGCGCTCCCTTGAATGATATCAGTGCGGTGGCGGATTGGTCTTTCCACCACACCGCTTGGGGCTTCTGCCACATCTGCGAACTCTTTCAGGATTCTCTCAATCTCTTGAGGCTTGACTTCTTCTTTAGTTTCTCCTTCCTTTACCGGGCGCACATATGCAACAAAGACTTGGTCGTACAAATTATATTTCTTCACATGACGAGCGAACGCGGGGGCACTCATACAACAATGAGCCAGGCTGCTTTCCTTACCAGATTCATGAAAGAGGCAGATTTTCTTCTTACCTCCTTGCGAACTTGGAAACCAACATTCGTGTTCCTTTAACTTTAGATCCGCATGCGCAGCCTCACCCCAATTCATTCCTAATAACACATCAAAGGGCAAGTTATCCTCCACCAAGAAGGTAAGAGAGTGGAAAACACGTTCCACCTTCCCCTCTGCCTCTAGCCGGAAGTATACTTGTACCCCCTCGACGTATCGATCCATGACGGTTTCACTACTATTCGYCTATTTACTTACAATGGGCTCATTTAATTTCTTAACTTTAAGCCCAAGACRCAGTTTCTGCAAACCTCTTTTACTAATATAACTGYGTGTAGACCCGCTATCTATCATACCTCCTACTCTGACTCGATTTATTTCAAGATCTGCAATTATTAGCTGTCCTTTCTTCTTTCGCATTTCAGTCCAGGCTTGGCGACGAMCGGCCAACTCATCACCCATGCCAGCGAGGGATCCATCTAGAGAGATGCATACGTTTGCCACCTCTGGACATTGTACTAGATGGGGACTTCCTTCCTCTTCAGTTTCTGCCAGTACAACCTTCGAGTGGGAGCATTCTGGTTTTTCAACATTCGAAGCTCCGGTAGAGGCAACTGGCACCTCTACTGGCTGTTCCCTTTTGCCCCCCTATAGTCAGGGCAATAGGGGACAATGTGGTCGAGGTCCCCACACTTAAGGCATTGGTCGGCTTTCTTTCTCTCTTGCCAGACTTTTTCTGTTATCCCCAATTCTTTCCAAGGCTCTCCTTCGGGTAGGCCTGGATGTGGTGGGTATGGCTTGTCCCACTTATTGTACCACATGCCTCTTCCTCTACCCCAGGTGGAGTAAGAACCACGGCCACCGTATGAGGGACCATTTCCCCTTCCTCCCACGTAGTGGCTTCCTTCACCACCACCCCTCTGGGTGCCGAATTCTCATCCACCACGGCCGCGACCTCTTCCTCGGTCACGCCCTCTTCCTTGACGCCCTCCCCAGCGGGCAACAACAACCGCGTATTCCCCTCCTGAGCTACCGGTCTATTGGGTTCATCGAGGCCGTAATCTATTTGGTCCCAAGAAAGTGATTCGACACCTCCTTCTTCAAAGGTCAGAAGGAGGTTGTCTTTCCCAGGTATTGATCSTGAGATGGTGCGGTTTTGCCATCTTTTGCYCGCTTGCAGRTCTTTCCAATAGTGACAATAGTTGACTTCAGYCAAARATCCTGCATGGTCTAATGCRATCTTACTAAATTTTTCATAGGTCATCCCYTCCTCTTTAGTGCGGGGATATAACTGAGTTCGGACGGGATCAGGTAAGGCGCGAGCAAAACTATTCAAAACCTGAGCMGGGGTTAACCCATGTTCGGTGCACTGCAATAACTCATCCATGGTAGCTTTTAGTGYYRACGTGCTTTTCCACTTCCTGTCAGGAAGGTTCAAGATTAASATTTCTGTTCTTCGGGCGAGATTCTTATCTTCGAACCTCTCCCTGACGGCTTTGAGAAAGTCTTCAATACGGGTTTGCTGGGAAAACTCTACCATTGAACTACACCCTGCTTCTTTTTGTAACGARATTRCAAAACTCATTGCGTCATCGGYCATACACGAAGTGGCCATCAACACCCTATCCCAATAAGGAATCCGTTGTCCGTAGACATAGGACTCTACAGCGGYCATCCAATGCAACACGCTTTCTTCCTTTTTGCCGGTGTATGTCCATGAAATTTTAACTTTAATTTTGTTGYTGGTCCCAGCTCCTTCTYCTCGCTGTCTTCCCTTTCCTTTCTTATCTCCGTCGCCTCCATCCCCGTCYCCGTCAMCACCTCCTCCTCYGCCGCTGCCCTGCACTATTCTCTCAATYACGGCTGGAGTGAAGGTTTGAGTGAGATGATCATCCAGTTTGTTGATATAGGACTGAATGYGCAGATCTACGTCCTTGGCRRACTTCTGCAMAAAGGTGTTCCATACATTTTCAAATTCCAGTTGATTCGTTTCAACTTTCTGCAAGGTCCTGTTAATTGCAGCAACTTCCTGTTTCGTATGGAGAACTGTTTCAGTTAGGAGGGCGAGTTTTTCTTCAGTAGCCGCTTGCTTTTCCTTTTGTGCCTGCAGCTCGCTGTGTAACCTCCCCCCCATGCTTGCAACTTCTTTCTTTCTATTATCAAGCTCTTTGCGCTTTGTCGCTAGCATCTTGCTATGTAGTTCAGTGCGTTTTTCTTCCAGCATCAGTTCTCTCTCCCTTTGATCTGTTACTTGTGCTAGCCTTGCTATGAAGGTGTCTCGTTCTTCTTCTGATTCTTCTAACTTGTCACTGGAATAAGAATACTGGTTATACCAGTCCAATGGCTTRACAAAGACTTCCCCCCGGATCTCACTTGTCTCGCCACTTTCTGCACGCCGCCTGATAAGTCTTTCTCCCCCTTCCTCCGAGGCTTCTTCTTCTTCCTCAATAGTCTGCAACTCGTCCTTTATTTCTTGTTCCCACTTTTTCTTTAACTTCCTCTTCATTTCCTCTTCTTCTAACTGGGCTTTTTTCTTTAACTCTTCTTCTTTTTTCTTCTTTTCTGCCTGCCGGGCGGTCAATCTCTGCCTGCTCAGCAGGTGTGGGCCCTGGCTTCACTGCTCCTGATCGCATCATCATGCGGGACGTGCACACGTCCGAACCCCAGTGGGAATATGAACCTGAACAGTGGGCCCCACAAGACAGAGAGGGCCAACAGGCCCTGAATGGGATAGTCATCCATGATGACTGCCGACACAGGAGACCCTCCGCCGGATCACCAAGATACTATCCCACTTACAGACTTAGTTTTGACTTGCGGTAATGGAGTACTATACTGCCTCTTTCCCTTTTCGACTGTAGAAGGTGCTGCGTACTATCAACAATAGCTCAACCTGAAATGAACTTTGAATATGCCTTTTTTTTTTCTTTTTTGTTTTTGATGTGTTATTTGGCGTCCTGGATCGAACTTTTGGTAATGTGTTTCTGTTGTCTTGCTTTCTCTTTTTTTTTTTGTTGGTAATAGCTCGGCTGGTTGCTGGGTGCAGATATGGAGTATAGCGCAAAGGTCAGATGCAATTGGTTCACTTATCCTACCAGGCAGAGATACTTCGTATACCCTGTTGTTTCTTTCGGGCTTGACAGGCCCTGCAGATGCTCAATATAATCCTTATGCTGCCTGGTACATGCTATCTGACGTGGCTCATAGCCCTTCCCACATCGATCCTTGGTTCTTAATGACGATACCCAGCCTGCTTGTCAAGAGGGATAGGAGAGAGACCTACTCCTATTCGCAGGACAYTGGACYACCTACTCTAGTGTGACCAGTTCCTGACACATCACACTTGGGTCGTCAGACTCTGACAGCTCAGACCTGACAGCTATGACACCCCAGATCCAGACTTCGACTCCTGACCAGATCAGCAGCAGTCACCTTCAGAGGGTCAAAGAGAGAGAAGGTAGGGGACACACACATGCATGCAGGTTCAGGGAAAGGAGGTGCTTCTCTTTTCTTGAAGATACCACCGATGAAGATTCTCCACGACGCTCCGCACGCTCCAGGTAAGTAGACTTCGCCACTTCTTCTTCGGCCTGCTTCCCCCACTATCGCACACTTCTTCTCCTCCTCCCTCCTTCACTATCCTCCATCACCACTTCTTCTCGTCGGCCTTGATCAGACCAGTGCTATGAGAGTAGCGAGCATCTGCTCCGATACCAAAATTGCATTGGTCCTAGGGACCATCTCACGCAGATGTGTACATGTCATGCATCATCTTCACACGCAGTGATCAATAGTCTCAACCATAGACAAAGGTAGAGAAGAAGAGCACCGAGTTTCACGGCTTATATTATCAGAAATATGATTACAAAGTGTTTCAAACTTCCCCTGAGTCCAGCGCTCATCAGCGCAACACAAATCTCTGTTCAACTCATCAATATGACTTCCAAGGCATCAGCGCTACCCCTGCAGATTGTCTCCCAGTCATCAATGTGGTCACTACTCATCAGCGCCACCTCTGCAGGTCACATCCAACTCAGGTAAGTATCTTYCATAGCCAAACCTTGAATGAACACTCTCAGCCTCAATCCCTTCCTCCTATGATGCATACACACTCTTTAATACTCGTGAGGATCTACTCTGGATACTACTCATAGCTACATACTAACCCTCTACTACTAATACTAACTCGCTGGGCAGCTATGGCTGCATCACTTCCAGCGTACAGGCTTCTTCCTCCCTCCAGCGCATCTTCTCTTCCAGCGCTGCTCCTCCTGGCTCAGCGCACAAGTGCACCAGCAYTTCCACGCATTTTAGCCAGTGGAGATCTGGCGAGGAATGAGGCAGGCAGCTCTTTTTATAGTGCTGGCCACTCCTCGCTGGGTCTGCATTGGCTCAATTCAGCCTCTCCCTTTGTCCCAGACCCTGCATTGCATGTGTCCCAGTATAGTCCCAATGAGGTTCAACTGCTGYTGAGGCACTTCAGCCTGGATTTGGACTTGAAAGTCTGGATCCGGACTGACCCCTTGACTTAGACCAGAACTGGRACTGTGCCTACTGACTTCACTTTCGGACAGGCACAACTCTAAACGAACAGACACATTTACTACTTGAACAGGCACTTTCCATTGCACGAACAGGCACACTGCCTGCACGTACAGACACACCCTCACCCGAACAGACATGACATACACAACTCCTGGTGAACAGGTAAGTCCTTTGACAATGCCCTTTGCCTTAGATTTAGATGTGCCTGTTGATAGAGAACTTGACCTTTGACCTGCTTTCACGTTTCTGAGCTCTGGCGAGATACAAGTCTTTTGACAATGCCCTTTGCCTTAGATTTAGATGTGCCTGTTGATAGAGAACTTGACCTTTGACCTGCTTTCACGTTTCTGAGCCCTGGCGAGATACCTTTTCACAATGCTTTACTTTTTCAAGGCCCGTGCGGCTTTTCTTGTACAAGGCCTGAGGACTATATCGGGTAAAGGCCCTTTTTACAGAATCATTACGGATACTTCAGCCTGATGCATCTTACCTGTACAGAAGAAAGCCAGGCTTAGTCCCAGGAAGCAATACTGATCACAAGGTGGTATATGGCCCTGATTACAGAATCAGATGACCAGCTTGGTTAAAAAAAAAATAAAAAAAAAATAAAGGAAGAAGTTGACCAGCTTGGTTGCGCTAACGCTGACACTGGGTGAAGGTCTGACCTTCAGAACCATTGGAACCATAGGAGGCTGTGGAACTTAAATCTTCGCAAACTTTGGGACCTTCGGAATGAACCCTTTGGAATTGAAATCCTCGACCTCCGGGAGCTTTGGAACCTTTGGATACAATATGAGCGCACCCCCAACAATACTATATTACAGGAGAAATCAAAGGTGCAAAACCTTCAAAGATCAAATCCACTGGCAAGAGAAACCCACGCATCTGCAAGTCTACAAGCAGGACCAACTGAAGTTAACCGACCACCTTTCAAATCTGGCACACCTGCTCTGGGCCAGCAACCTGCAGACAAATCCAACCCACAACCAATCGAAACACCAAGCCTTACAGGACAACAAAACTTGTTTAGACAAATGCCCCTTCTCTAGACGGACCTTTCTCCACAAGGCTGATCTCCTCTTCGGTAACTGGAGCACGCCGCTGTTTGAACCAGCGCTTAGGAAGAAACCACCTCCCTCCGAAAGAGGATTGCTGTGAATGCAGCAAGCACAGCAACATAATCATGCCCGTTAAATTACAGAAAAGGCCAAACTCAGCAGGGGCTTCACCATCGTATGCAATAGTTTTGCGGTAGTGGTATCCGAACAGAAGCTGAGAAAACGGCGACAGCGTGGATCCGATCGTGTAGATGAAGTGCAAGGGCCTCTGCCCTCTTGAGTCCCAGATAGCATTCGCGAGAACTTGAGGAAGTAAGTAGTAGTCTCGCATTAGGTCCAACAGAAGGTACATGTCGAACAACGTCCATGCAACCAATGCGGCCCCACCGTACAGCAGAACGCAGACGAGAAGCACGGGCCACTCAGTTGGCGATGCCTGCTGCCTAAACACCACAGCCGTCTCCTCACCATTGCCTCTAGGTTTAGCCTTATCCAATTGCCGCCTTGCTTTCAAAATTAGTGCCGCAAAAGCCGCCAGAAACGTCATGAGGCAAAGCTCAAGGGTCAGTGGAAAAGGGCTCGTCATCCAATAGTCAAAAGGGATATAGGAAGAAGAGACAGTGCTAGAACTACCGACCACATCATCCCACATGAACGGTGGGAGCACATTTTGAAACCACCGGTAACAGCGAACGCCAACGTGAAGCACCACCATTGTGATCGAAATCCATGGGACTTGCTCAGGACGGAACGTCATGTACAGGAGTTGGAATAGAGTGCTGAGAAGTTCGATGATCAAGCCCATGGACTCAGTATGCTCACGTAAGATCTCCAGGTTATGATATTCTTGCTGAGTGACAACTTCTAGATCAAGAGAAATCGGCTCAGAATAGAAAGAATGATTCCACGCACAGAGACTAGTAATGCTCCCTTGGAGACGCCAACGCCAGCCAATCTTGGCCTGAGCAAGCTTGAGATCGACTTTTACCTCGCAGTCCTCAGGTCGGCAATCTATAGTCTGCCAATAGTAGTTGTCTGGATGGTACCAAAAAGTAACATTCTCATTCTCTCTGACTTCATTGTACCACGAGGGACTGTACCTAGAAGTAATATTCTCTTCCTGTCTTGTTTCACTGTACGGCGAGGGATCTGAAGCTAGAGTAGGGACTACTGTGGAGTTGTCCTCCTCGGCGACCACATAGTCGACCGGCAAACCACCACCTATAAAATTGCCACCAATAAAATTGCTTTCGGGTAGAAAAGCAAAATAAAATGCTCTCGAGCAACCAACCAAGCATAACTCACCCAACTTGTCCGAGTATACGCCTTCGACATTGACAAAGGCAGAGGCGTCGTACCCACGGGGAAGGGACATGGGACGTAGGTCGAATCGGATACTGACCCGAGAAGGCCCTCCCTCTGGTGGGTGCTCAAAGAAATCCAGCAACGTAAAATGAACTCGTCCACTTGTGGAGTTCAGAAAGTTCTTGCCATGACGCGTCAAACCTCTACTTAGAAACCAACTACCCCGCACAGTGTCATACTGACTCGGGATACTGCCATGCTTCTTCTCAATAATCGTGTCAGAATCGTTCATTGAATGCTTGCAATTATACTCAACACTCTTATTCATTGTGTATTTATAGGAATGGTGATTCCAGGGAGAAGTGTCGATCCCAAGAGATCCCGACGAATTGTCAGAAACTGTCACAAAAGGCATCACACCCATACGACCTGTATGTGCAGACGCCGTGTCTGAATAGCCACATGTGACCATGACTTGAGAGGATAGCATCTGCATACTAAACATCCACGCCAGTAGCCAAAGCCGAACCTGTATAATACCAGTCAATGAAAGAAATATTGAAAGAGCAAGAGAGTAAGCACATGTGTGTGTACCACAAAGAGAGAGAGCGATAGATGGATATATATATATATATATATATATATATATATCGTCAAATAGAACTGCCCGGTAAACCGTAGGCAGAGAGGGAGAAGAGGACAACAAACGAGGGGCTGTGACAAACTGTTTCGTCGGAGTTTCACCGACTCATCATATATATATATCGTCAAATAGAACTGCCCGGTAAACCGTAGGCAGAGAGAGAGAAGTATATATATATATATAGATGGATATATATATATATATATATATATATATATATCGTCAAATAGAACTGCCCGGTAAACCGTAGGCAGAGAGGGAGAAGAGGACAACAAACGAGGGGCTGTGACAAACTGTTTCGTCGGAGTTTCACCGACTCATCATATATATATATCGTCAAATAGAACTGCCCGGTAAACCGTAGGCAGAGAGGGAGAAGAGGACAACAAACGAGGGGCTGTGACAAACTCCGACGAAACAGTTTGTCACAGCCCCTCGTTTGTTGTCCTCTTCTCCCTCTCTGCCTACGGTTTACCGGGCAGTTCTATTTGTGACGATATATATATATATTGTCACATATATATATATATATATATATATACTTCTCTCTCTCTGCCTATGGTTTACCGGGCAGTTCTATTTGACGATATATATATATATATATATATATATATAGAGAGAGAGAGAGAGAGAGAGAGAGAGAGAGAGAGTGAGTTCACCCCAGAGAAAACTAATCCATGAGACAGAAATGAGTGTGCCTGCCTGGCTCTGTGAATTGGTACAGAAGCAGAGGTGTGGATACGGGCAGTTCAGCAGCAGGTGGACAAGGACGTTGTTGTTCGTTCCAATTCCGAAAACGTGCGTAACAAAGATGTGAGACCTTGGCAACTGAAGTGATTCAGAACAAAGGTGTACCAGCCTCCTCCCCAAATAAAGAGCGTTGACAATGATCATCCTTTCAAGATCATTTCACCAAAACAAGTATCATGCCACATGGAAAAGGTCCAAATTCTCAAGTTCTATCAGCTCGTTCTCACTTCGCTTGGTTTCCATCCCCCTTCTTGATTTCTTTCTCTTACACTCAGACTTTCGCACTCTTCCCAGTTCCATTCCTCCTGCTTCATCCCTGAAAGCGAGCTCCACCGTCTTTCCCAAATATCACGTGTGGTCATTATTAGATCATTTGGGGCAACTTTCAGTCTAGATAGAGGCATAACAATTGTATGTTCTATTTCAGAACAGTAAGCGGCCAGTTAGATGTCCTTGTCAACAACTCCCACAGCTCCCATGTGTCTCCCATGCACACACACACACACACACACACACACACACACACACACACACACACACACACACACACACACACACACACACACGTGTGGTCATTATTAGATCATTTGGGGCAACTTTCAGTTTAGATAGAGACATAACAACTGTATGTTCTATTTCAGAACAGTAAGCGGCCAGTTAGATGTCCTTGCAATCAGACTCGCCTTCATTCACACTTTACATGCATGCAAACAGTAGCGCAGCAAACTGGCGACATGCGCCCACTCAAAACTCAGAGATATGGCAATCCAGATACAAGTTCACTCCCAATGGCTATGGCGACTCAGCGCCCAAACAACTCTCTGTTCACATACACCGGATCACCCTGGATATCCCACACGCGACTCGCAGCACGCTCACACACACACCCTCACACTGAACCTCAACTACAGCTATGGCAGCTGTGGCCGCCTCTACCCTATCGCTATGGCTACGCTTCGTCTCTCTGCCCACTTCGTCCTCAGGCGTCACTGCAGACCTCCTTGCACAAGTCGCTGTGGCAGCGCTTCCGCATGGCTCACGCAGGAATGAATGAATGACTGGGCGCTGCCTCTTGATTTATACTTCTGAAGCTCGTTGGTCTGCCCCTTTCCATCGGCCCGTGGTGCACACAGTCCCTCATGGTACTCGCTGGACTGGACTGGGACTGACTGGACTGCACCGCTGACTGCCTGGGGACGCACTGCCGACCTACTGGGGCCGTACTGCGATCGTACCGCAGTTAGTCCACCACTTGGCTCACCACTTGCCCACTTGCCGACCTTCTAGAAGACTACAACTAAGACTTCTGGACTTCGCTAAGACTTCTATTCGACTGACCTACAGATCGAACCCCTACAGCCTACGGACCTATGACAGCCTACCGGTTGCTTACTAGTACACAGGACACGGGTTCAACTCTTGGGGTTTACACAGGTACTGTACACGGTAGGGTGAGGGCTAGGGATCGAGCCCTGGGATCTACATCTGCTACTGCAAAAAGGTGAACTGTACACGGAAGGGTGAGGGCTAGGAATCGAGCCCTGGGATCTACATCTGCTACTGCAAAAAGGTGAAAGCCGTTTCATCCTTGTCAACAACTCCTACAGCTCCCACGTGTCTCCCATGCACACACACACACACACACACACACACACACACACACACACACACACACACACAAAATGTGTTTTTTCCTGTCTCAGTGAGCACCTCTAAGAAGCGCTAAGTGGTCGGTGGTGGGTTGTTTGGAATTCCTGTAACACGATCAGGGGGGCCGCTCTGTTCGGGATGTCTGTGGGTGCTGTATCTAATCCAAAACATACCTTTGGACTTCGTCAGGTGCGCCACAAAGGTTTTTTCCCGGCCGAAACAGTGCGGGCGCATGTGCCGGATCCTGGATATGGACAAGGGTCCGACGGCGCGTCTCGCAGAGCTCAGAATCAGAGTTGGAGGGGCGCAGCATGGCTGCTTTCTCTGCCACTTTCGTGTCTCCATGCGGCGCGTAGCCGAATCCCTGTCCCTTAGCTGTTCTGTACAACGACAGTCAAAACACAGAGTCCGCTGCCAGTACGGTGCAACAGTCGGCCACAGAATGATGATCAACTCGTTAAAGGGGAGTGAAACCCGAATTAACGAACCCAGGACACTGTTTCAGAAGGCAATTGATATGGGCGACCAATCTGAGCTACGGCTTCGCTCACATGCCACTCACAGACACGAGTCCTGTCCTCGTTGTACAGGAAAGGGCGTGAGTGGGGATGTTCACGAAGTTGGGGCCTAAATGATCCGGCGGGCTCAGTCCACATGGTCATCTGCCATCAGTCTCACGTGCATCCACCGTTCACAAAACACATTGACCTAGCCCCCATCAATCTAGGGCGGTCACCTGTGAGAAGGAAATCAGGGAATACGACGTGACTTTCATGCACGATGTTCCCTTGAAGGAGGGGAGTTACCCAGGACGCTAATGGACGAGTTCAGGAAGAAGTTCTTCACAAAGGCAGCCGTAGTTCATTCACAGGCTATGTGTCCCCCGTGGTCGCGACCGCAGGATCGATCCCGGCCAACGGTCTTAATCTCAATCACGGCCTCGGCCCGCTGCGGTTGGGTCACGGCAGCGGGCCTTCGGCGATTTTTCCCACATAATAAATGGGCTTGTAGGGTTTCTCAAACCCTACAAACCCACGCATAATTTTTCCAAACCACTGATTTTTTTGGTATTTAAAAAAATAAAAAAACAAAAACTGTTGGAACACAACCCTGGACCCAAACCTGGATCGGATCTCAAGAACGGTACTAATGGGACCCACTAGAGCGGGCACCAGGATTCGAAACCTGATGACCGAATTCGAACTCTGCGAACCCCTCAGGGCACTACACCCGGACAAGAGAATTTTCTCCCGGATAAGGAGAGACCAAGCCAACCGGACCTCGCTGTCCAGGATCGACTACTTCCTCATATCCGAGAGCCTCCGAGGGACAGTCAAAGAGGCCGAAATCCTCCCATCAGCAGCCTTCAAAGGATTGGACCATAAACCCATCCAGATGCTGCTCAATTTCAATGTACCAGTTCAAATAGGTCAAGGTTTCTTCAAGCTTAATAACTCACTTTTAAAAACCGAAAGAATGAAGACGACAGTCCAAGAACACTGGGCTATCAATAAGCAGCGAGAATCAAGGAGAACAAGTAGTCACCAGTGGTTCATCGATAGCTACACAGATTTAACACGAACAGTATCAGCGGAATCTAGAGATATTGCTAGAGACCGAAAAAGAAGAAGGTAAGAACTCCAATTCGCAATGTTCGTCGCTGAAGAAAATATGGTGGAGGACCCAACTAGCAGTTTCTACCAAGAACTACTAGACGACACCAAGGAGGAACTAAACGAATGGAGAAGATGGGAACTCAGAGGTTTACAAATACGGGCGAGGATGACAAACTATGCACTTAACGAGTCAATGACAAAATTCTTCTTCTCCAAAATCAAGGCGAACGCCAGGAACAGCATGATCGAGGCACTTATAGACCCATCGGACTCTGGGAGCACAAAAACGACAGGCCCGGAGATGGTAGGGATAGCCAGAGCCTTCTACGCAGATCTGTACGAATCCAAGACCCCCTCACCCCCGACAACAGCAAACCTAGCAGCCCGCCAGGCGATGCTATCATACCTCGACAGAACCATCTCAACCAATCAGGCGAAAGGCCTGGACAGACCACTGACCCTGGCCGAACTGCACACAGCCTTGAACCAGATGGGAAATGACAAAGCCCCGGGCTTCGACGGCCTCTCAAAGGAGTTCTAGAGCTGCTTCTGGCCGACACTAGGGGAGGACCTACTCGACTTTTTTAACGAAAGTATGCACAAAGGAGGCCTAGGCAAGGAGCTGAGCACCAGTATAGTCTCACTGCTTTACAAAAAGGGAGACAAAGAACTACAGACCTATTTCCCTACTAACCACTCCATACAAAATCCTAGCCAAGGCGCTTGCAAACAGAATCACCAAACTAACGAACAGTTGCTTCCACATCGATCAAGCAGGCTTCATCCCAGGTCGTTACATATTAGACAATGTGATGACCCTGAATGAAGCAGCAAAAAAGATCATGGAGAAACGAATGAAGGCAGCAATCC